GGATCTTGTAAGGTCATTGGCCAATCACCCCCTGCAGAGTAGTCTAAAGGAGCAGAGGACCCCATAGCCTTACTCTCCAAGCAGCTGACCTGGGGGGACAGCATTTCTCTGTTCTCTGCTAACAAATAGCAGTAATAATAATAATAATTGGAGATAACATCTTCAATGCTTGCGAGATGCCTTACAAACACGCTCTCGGAACGGAACTCATTCTTATGTAGGGGACTTACTGTACGCTGTTTTCCTGCACTTTTCCCTCCTGGTTTGTAACAGGTTGGAAATGTTAGGTTTTCTTATTTGGCGTCTCTCTCTCCCCTTCCACCATCAATTCCATGAGGGAGAGGACAGTGTTTCCCACTTTACTGTTGTATCCCAAGCTGGGCATACAGGTAAACAAAGGACAAACAGTTGAACACCTTAGAGGGTCCACTCAGAGGGGCCGAGATGCACCATCCACCCTTCCTCATTTTTCAGGCTCAGTGGGACCCCCAGAGGATTGAATGGGGTTCAGATCAGCTGAGGAGTGTGGGCAGGACGGCGGGGGGAGCAGGTCTTCCCGCTCCAAATCCAGCTCTGTTGCCACCAGGCTGCTCCAAACAGCTCTCACTGCAGAAGAGGGCAGAATTCTCCAGGGCGGGGCGGTTCCAAATGGTAGCCTGTGCCAGATGTGGCTTTACAATAGGACACATTTCTTTGAGAAGCCATCGGGCAGCTCCTCAAAGAGTTAAACTGAATTACCATGTGACCCAGCAATTCCACTTGTACGTATATACCCAAGAGAACTGTAAACATACTCTCACATAATAACCGGTAAACAGATGTTCACAGCAGCCTTAATCACAATCACCAAAAGGTGGAAATGACTCAAATAGGCCATCCATAGATAAAGGGATAAACAAAATGTGGCATGTCCATACAATGGAATATTATTCAGCCACTAAAAGGAATGAAGCCCTGACACATGCTGCACTGTGGAGGAACTTCAAAAACATGGTGCTCAGTGAAACAAGCCCAACACAAAATGTCACATATTATGATTACGTGTATATGAAATGTCCAGAATAGATAAATCCAAAGAAACAGAAGCAAATTGGTGGCTGCCAGGTGCTGGGGGAGGAGGAATGACTAGTGGCTGCTTAATGGGTGTGGAGTTTTATGCTGGACTGATGGAAATGTTTTGGAACTCGATACAAGTGATGGTTGCACAACCCTGTGAATCCACCAGATGTCACTGAATTATACACTTTAATGTTACATGATGGAGGTTGAGATTGACATATACACACTACTATATATAAAATAGATGATCAACAAGGACCTACTGTATAGCATAGGGAACTCTACTCAATATTCTGTAATAACCTATATAGGAAAAGAATCTGAAAAAAAATAGATGTATGTATATGTATAACTGAATCACTTTCCTATACAAGTGAAACTAACACAACATTGTAAATCAACTATACTCCAATATAAAATAAAAATTAAAAAAAATAACGTTACATGAATTTTAGCTTAAAACAAAGAATAAAGAAGACACCAGAAATGTTGGCAGTGTAGTTCTAGGCCCAGTGCTCACTTTTCCCGGGCAGGGCTGTGTCTGGTATCCAAGCTATACAATGCCTTGAATACAGCAGGAGTCAATCAGTGGTACAGGAAAACCACAGATGTGCCAGACCTGAGGTTCCCAGATGTCGCCCTTGGCACTCACTTTGCACTGTGAACCCCCTGTAACAGAGCAATCTTCCCAGGACATACCCTCACGTCCTCTGCCTGCCTCTTGTATATAGAAAAACTTTGGCCAAGGAATACATTTAATCAGAGAAGCGAGAAAATACAGAAGCAAAGGAAAATAATCAAACAAGACAAAATATTGGGTTGGCCAAAAAGTTCGTTTGGGTTTTTCCATGATGTCTTATGGAAAAACCCATACGAACTTTTTGGCCAACGCAATAATAATAGTTTAGCCATTAAATGAAGTCAAGGACCTTTAGTTTCTCCTCAAGGGCTATCAATAATATTCCGAGACATATCCTTTGAGCTGTTTTGCAGATACTAAATAAAACCCCCACCAGGTGGGTTAACTACATGATGACCAGACTGCAGCCGTCACATAAGCTGCTCCATCTTACACAATCCTGAGAACTGGCCTCATAACAAACCGACCCTGGAATTAAAGATGAACTGTACCTAAAACAACCGTGATGACGCTGATCAGGCCACCGCACGACTAATTTCAAAGGGATTGTCGGAGCTGACTGTGCTGTTCTGCATGTAGCCCCCTCCCCCAACCCAGAAACACCCCCTTAAAAGCTCTTGCCCCCGATTGACAGTGGGGAGTTGGTTCTTTGGGTCATGAGTCCACCTTCTCCCCAGGATTACCAGATTCCTCAATAAAGCTATCTTTACTTTTACCCAACACGTGTCTCTCAGTATTGGATTCTTGAGCAACGAGCAGCCAAAGCTGAGCCCGGTAACACCCCCCCCCCAACACATATACAACTATATAAACACAGGTTTCACAAACAATACTGTGCTCTCTGATGACACTGATGTTGGACACACGAGCTACATTGATTTTGCCCATTTGGGAAACCAGGTACAACATCACTGAGACACTGCAGTACTAAGAACAGTATAGGCACTTACATGTATGGCACATCCAAAGGGATATTATCTGAATAATAAAGAAATGAACTACCCAGCCATGAGAAGACATAGAGAACCTTAAATGCATATTGCTAAGTGAAAGGAGCCAATCTGAAAAGGCTATGATTCCTGTATATATGTTTCCAACTCTGCATGATTCCAACTGTATGACATTCTGGGAAAGGCAAAACTATGGAGCCAGTCAGATCAGTGGCTAGGGGCTAGTGGGGAGGGAGGGATGAATAGGCAACACATAGATTTTTAGGGCAGTGAAATTATTCTGTATGATGCTATGATGGTGGATACATGTCATTATACATTTGCCCAAACACACAGAATGAGGCAGTCCAGTGGTTAGGACTCAGGGCTTTCACTGCTGTGGCCCCGGGTTCAATCTCTGATCGTGGAACTAAGATCCCAAAAGCTGAGAGGCATGGCCAAAAAAAATAAAGAAAAATAAAGAAACACACACACAGAGAAATGTACAACTCCAGGAGTGAACGCTAACGCCAACTATGGACTTTTGATGGTGATCAGATGTCAATGCAGGTTAATCAATTGTAACAAATGTAGGGGATGCTGATGATGGGGAGGCCGTGCATGTGTGGGGACAGGGGATGTATGAGAACTCTCTGTACCTTCTGCTCAATTTTGCTATGAACTTAAAACTGCTCTAAAAAATAATTTAAAAGGGGAAAAAAAAGGTATTTCAACGTGTGAACACTTTCCTAATACTGCAGAGAACAGTCACAAAACAGTTAAACGCACTAGACTGTATACTTGGCCATGAACTTTTTTTTTCCTTCTTTTTTTAAATCTTTCCAAGCCTCAGATTCTTGTTTCTTTAAAAGTCTTAAGACAAAAAAAAAAAAAAAAAAACACAAACCTCCGGGTTTCTCTCTTTCATCGCCCTTGCTGGATCTACTTTCAATTCACTGGTGTGCCCAGGAAAAACAGACAACTCATTATAAACATCTGAGTCATAAATGCAGGAGATAACTTTAATAGGATCCAAAATGCAAATCAGAATTCTGTTAGTAAAATTCCAACGTCTACACTTACTCCTAAACAGAGATCTTTGAGCTCAAAATTCAGAGAAGGATTTTAATATCCCAAACACGAGAGGTTTGTTACTGGGGAGAAAACTGAGGTCAAATTGTGTGTGAGTATATGAAGCCACATTTATAAGTAGTTCAGGGCCCAATAGAAGTGTTCTTGGTAGCAACTGGGAAGCCAGTTGTCCCAGAGAAAACATTTTCATGGGTAATGTTGTGGTCAGCCAGGAATCAGTCATGTGCTCAAAGTTGGCTTAAACAGATGCAAAAACTGAATTCTTTTTGATAACAAGACACAAACCAACACTTGTATGTGTACAAGGCCTAGATGGACTAACAGTGTATAAGATGTACGGCCATTTTGGGTTTGAAATTGGTAAATATTCTTCTTTGAGGTCCAAGTAGATATAAAATAAAGCTCTCACATTAATTCAATGTGATTCAGTGTTTGCAACAAACTCCAAAGTCCCCAACAAACAGGGGAAGAACAAAAGAGCCTTTTAATTTGTAAAAATATATGAATAAGCCCGTATTTCAAAGAATAAAATAGAATATCTGACGAACACTTCACGCTCCAGGCATCTGATGTTATTTTTAAAGTTTCCCAGAATATATATATATATATATATATATGTATATATATATATATGTATGTATGTTACGGTCCTCGAAATAGGGCTCTTGTTTTGAAGACTCTGCATATGTAATTGATAACAGCTTGAGACCATTTATATGCCACCATCTGAGCAAAACTGCTAAATGCATGGCCTTCAATTTTGTCAAATGCAAGAAAAACACATGCTCAGGATCGGCTGAGTGGCAATTTTTTAAGACCAGAAGTTAGGGTTTAAATGACAAAGTCGCACCAAGGTGGCATGATTTTCCGGCACCTTCCAAAATGAAGCTTTATCACCAGGTAGGAAAAGAGGATGACATTCATATTCCCGGCGAGTTACAATGCCCTCCTTCTAGCATCTCACATCTACTCGGATCAATTAACAAAGCATGTTTTGTTCGGAGCATGAATGAGGACGGCTTTCTTCTGTGCATTTTATTAAAATTTGAAAGCTATGGCTTGCTGCCACTGATGACGCCTATTGGGTTCCAACAGCCTAATGTTCAAATATGACTCGCTAGCTATCCACCCAACTCAACATCGGTCATCCTGACATCGGGGGATATTCAGCAAGTCTGCAGTTTTTATCATGAAGGATTTTCTACCGTTATGGAACAAATAAAGGGTTCTTTGCACCAACGGCTGGAAACACAACATGAGACTTTTCTTCACACCGTAAGAATTGATGAATAGTTCACAGAGTCAACAAAAGACTTTATTTTTGAAAAGCAGATAACACCAAAGTACTATGTAGTATCCATAGTCATTGCAAAAATAATTACTGGAACTTCCGAAACATCAAACGAATAAGCTGAATCAATGGGTTATGACTATAATTTTGAACCAATATACAGATTTTCGATCAAGGCCTCGGCTTGATTTCTACATAATATTATTCACATGCATTCCCTGTGTCTATTTAGTATCAAAATGGGGACTCTTGAAAGTCGAGCCCGGCTTTGTCTTGATTTCAAAGATGACACAGCAGCACACAGAGAACTCTGGCTTGCTGCTTCAGTCCTAGAAATCATGTCTTCAGATGGTATACAACAAATTGATTTCTGAAAAATAAAATCCAGACTTCAGATGCCTTTGAAACAGTCAGATCCCCACACTTTTCAGCACCATGATACTCAGACGTGCTCAAACACGCTTTCCTTCGTCTTTCCACATATCCACCAGGAACCCAAAAGGGGACCCGCTTTAAGAGTTCCATTATGGAGGTCTTTAGGAACAACACTAAACCCAAGTAAAGGCAGTAGACGAAATTATCCCCGTTACTTTTTCTGTTAAGGAAAAAAAAAAAAAAAAGTGAGAGTGCATTGGCAAATGGGAAAATGATACCAGTCATACGTATGGTTAGGGAAAACAGTTCTATAAATCCCTCCTTTCAAAATTATGTTCAAAGGTGTTTAAGACCAAAAGGAGGTCACAAAAACTGTTAATACAAACAATCCCTCTAACAAAAAAAAAGCTCTTTGTGGAAAGTGGCTGAGGATCTGGTCCAAAGAAGGCAGATCAGTGAAAAGACCCAGCCTTCTATTCCTAGCCTGCGTTTATGACCTCATGGCTATGCGTCTGATGGGTGTGAATAACCCCTCCCTGTACTTAAAAATGAATTAAGAAATTAAAGTGAATTTGTGTGCTATTTAAAGGCCTGCAGTTACAGAATCTGAGAGCCAAGCCCTTAGACTGTAAGGCAAGATTTTTGTCATCAGAAGTGGAAACAGATGGCTAGGACGGTAGGCACTAAAGGTTGGTTCAGCCGTTCTAGGGCCGGAACAGTTTAAAAACTAAGGCAAGCTGGGGCTTCTCAGTTTGAGACCACCAAGAGAAAGGCCCACTGAGGCCAAAAAATCAGTGGCAAATCACCAGAAGATACTCAGGACAATGGTCACAGCTGGATGGGGTGACTTGGGGTCACAGACGGGGAGGCAGGAAACCCTTGAACCAGCACTCAAGGAGAATGTCTTTGCATATCCTGTGCACGACACCAAGCAGCAATTTCTGGGGTTTGGAGGTGTGTTATTTTTGCGATATTTTCCCCCCAAGAGAAGACACGAAGGTGGAGACCCTGGAGAGATGAGACCACCAAAATGGAGCCTTCACCAGGGGTGGGGCTGGGTGAGAGTCGGAAAGGCCTTCCTGCAGCACACGGCTCCCTTCAGGTCTGGCTGAGTCCTACAAACGCTTGTAGGTGCCCAGGAGAGCTTTGCAGTTGGGACAGTAGTGGTCCACATCCTGCAGGGCGTCCACACAGAAAGGGATGAAGCAGCAGCCCACGACGCACCTAGAACAAAAAAGACCACACGTGGAGAGCGTTACAGACTGTAGTCGTTTGGATGACAGCCGCCAACAAGATGTCGGAGTCTTAATCCCCGGAACCTAGAAATGTGACCTTATTTGGAAAAAGGGTCTTTGCAGATGTAATTAAGGATCCCAAGATGGGATCTTCCTGGATTATGAGGGTGGGCTCCTTAAACTCCAAGACAGGGATCCTGATAAGAAGAGAAAAGGACACACAGAAATACAGAGAGGGACAAAGCCCACGTAAAGACAGAGGCAGAGACTGCAGTGATGCACCACGGCCAAAGAACACCCGGACTACCAGAAGCTAGAGAGACAAGGAAGGATTCTGC